ACAATATTTGTTCTTCCAATCCATGAGCATGGAACATTTTTCCATTTCTTTGTGTCTTCCTCAATTTCTTTTATGAGTACTTTGTAGTTTTCTGAGTACAGATTCTTTGTCTCTTTGGTTAGGTTTATTCCTAGGTATCTTATGGTTTTGGGTGCAATTGTAAATGGGATTGACTCCTTAATTTCTCTTTCTTCTGTCTTGTTGGTGTAAAGAAATGCAACTGATTTCTGTGCATTGATTTTATATCCTGACACTTTACTGAATTGCAAATAGGCATCATCTTTAACATCTCCCTTTTAACTAAATTTTATTCTCTTGATCAGTAATTAATATTTTTAGTTAAGACCTCTCTTCTGATCTCAAAATATATGTGTAATTGTCTGCTAACATCTCCACATAGAAGTCACAGAGGCACTTTGAATTACACAGGCACATCTAAACCAGTCATCCTCTCCCTCCTCCAGAGAGTTCCAAATACGTTTGAAAAACTTTTTTTAGGGTGATCATCCCTCATCCATTTGATTAGTCCATTTCTTTTGCAACATCCTTTTATTGTACTTTCTGCAATAGATATTTATAATTTAAAAATCTGTTTTCCCTGCAACACTATGAGCTCTTAAAGTAAGGCATGGGTCTAAAATGTTCACCACTATTTCCAAACACAGCGAAATGTCTGCCTCATGGTATGTATTTATTAAATTGATTGGAATGACACAAAATTCCAATTCTCTTTTTTCATCTAACAGAGTATCATGATCATCTGACAAAGAGAACTAATTCCATATTTTTATTTGAATTTCATTAAGCATGTCTCATTTACATAGGTACGATTTTACCAAACTGAAGTGTCAAGTGGGTTTATTATTACTATCTTTTTTAACATTCTCTCACTCAGATCTGTAAGCCTCAAAGTATTCCATTCCCACTCCCAGATAGTAATCAGTCAAAATCGACTTATATAATTATTCATATTTACAAGGGGTTTCATTTGCTTTTTAAAAATACAATAGTATATATGCTTATTTATATCTTAATTTTATTGCTTACCATTTCATGGGACTCTCCAAGTCAACTACACTAATTCACTCTTTTTAATAACAGACTAATATTTCATGTAGTTGCTGTGCCATAATTTATCCAACTATTCCTCTGTGGTGTTCTTTTTATGATCATTCGGTAAATATTCCTGGACATTGAGCCTAATGAATTGGTACCTCAATTGCTATGGGATAGATTTACAGGAGTGGCTTTGCCAGATCTAAGGATATGGATCTTTTAAAATGAAATAGTTAGAGCTAGATTCCTCTCCTAAACACACACACACACACACACACACACACACACACACTTACAGATATGTATATATATAACACAATGTAAACTGTGTACATTTCTTTTTTTTTTTTAAGATTTTATTTATTTATTTGACAGACAGAGATCACAAGCAGGCAGAGAGACAGGCAGAGAGAGAGGAGGAAGCAGGCTCCTTGCTGAGCAGAGAGCCCGAAAACTGTGTACATTTCTATGAACAAGAATTGAGAATATATTTTTCTCAATATCCTCACTAGCAATAAATATTTTTGCCAGTCTCATAGGTATGAAATGGTATTTAATGGTAACTTTCATGCACATTACCATGACCAATAATGAATTTCATGTCTTTTATATTAATTGGCCTTTGGATTTTCTCTAGTGTGAGCTGATTTCCATATTTTTTTCCAGTCCAAATTTTGATTACATTTTGCCTTCTTGTCAATTTAACAATTTTTTATTGACTTTTAACCTTCAACTACCATTCTTACTATAAATTTTGTAGCAAAAAGTCTCTTTTTTTAAAATAGTGTACTCACTTCTGTTTTTGTTTAAGAAGTCTTTTCCATCCTTGGCTTTTGCACGTAGTCTCCAAGTTTTACTTCTAAAACTGCTCTTTCTTAGTACATCTGAAATGTATTTTGCATATGATGTAAACTGGGTCTTCAACTTAGTTTCACCCTGAAATAATACCCAGATATGTTTATCAAATAAACCACATTTTCCTCCACTGAATTGATACTGTCTATGTCATACATTAAATTTTCATATATTCTGCCGTTTGTAGAATCTCAATTCTGCTACATCAATCTCTTTTTATCTGTATACCACAACTATATGATCTATTTTTTTTTAAATATAGACTGTTTTCTAAAGCAAATTCCACCCTGGTAATCTTTTTTACTTTTACTTGGTTGTTCTTAGACAGCCATTCTTCCTTGAGAAATGTGTATTTGTCTTAGGTGTCTTAACCACAAAAAACTAAGCCCCATTGTGATTCTAATTACAAGTTCCTTCCCAAACATCTTGGCATTTTATTGCTCATATTTTTATGTCCTTTCATAAAATTTTATACTTTTTCCATAATATGGCATAGTGTAAATAATATTTTAATGCTTGCCTCTTAAAAGCTAGTAAAATTTAGCTGTGAATCCATGTTGATACCTTTTAGATATTTTTATATTTATTTTTACAGTAATTGGTCCATTTAAGTTTGTCCCTTCTTATGTTAATCGTAGTGA